ATGTAACCTATTTTTATTAAAAACACTAAAAAAAAAAGAGGTCCCAGATAAAKCTTGCTTTTATTGTGACACAGTCTGTCTCTCGACATTTTTGTAAAAAATGTAACCTATTTTTATTAAAAACACTAAAAAAAAAGGAATATCAAGAAAATCCAAGATATTATTTACATAAATGAGCAGAAAACCATTTTTAGTTTCTGGTTCTTCACAGAAAGCTACAGCTCTGTTTTTTGATGTGGGTGCATGTGGAGTAGTTTTGAGTTGTCAGTATCTTACATCCATCAGATAGCAGTCACTGAAGTATTTAGAGGTTAAGAAAACAAATTAAAAATGAAACATAAAAACACAAACCCCTCATAATGATGGTGAGACTAATTATTTTTATTATTTTAAATTGTTTTCTTCAGGTCTCAGTTTGCCATGAATTTCTTGGACCCTTCCTTCATCCCTTTAACAAACGCCCTGAACGAGGAGCTCCAAGGAAAACCATCAAAATGGAAGTTCAACAGGACCGCCTTTTACCAGCAGAGGTAAACATTTACTTTTTGTTCTCACCTGACACCATGAAAATTACTGCTGCTTATAATATAAATATAAAGACAATTCTAATTTTTTTCCCCTCAGGAAAGATATCTTCAGCTTCATYGACATTCCCAACAACTTCTCCCTCACTAAGAACAGTGTACGTGTGGGCCAGCTGATGCACTTTGACTACTCCAGCCACAAGTACGTCTTYTCCATCAGCAACAACTTCAAGTCCCTGCTCCCGGAAACCTCTCCCATCACCAACAGGCACTACAGCGTGTGCGCTGTGGTGGGGAACAGCGGCATCCTGACAGGCAGCCACTGCGGCCCCGAGATCGACCAGGCCGACTTCGTCTTCCGCTGCAACTTCGCCCCCACGGAGATCTACTCCAAAGACGTGGGCAGGAAGACCAACCTGACCACCTTCAACCCCAGCATCCTGGAGAGGTATTACAACAACCTGCTGACCATACAAGACAGGAACAACTTCTTCCTCAACCTGAAGAAGCTGGAGGGAGCCATCCTCTGGATCCCCGCCTTCTTCCTCCACACGTCCGCCACGGTGACTCGAACCCTGGTGGACTTCTTCGTGGAGCACAAAGGCCAGCTGAAGGTTGAACTGGCCTGGCCTGGAAACATCATGCAGGACGTCAACAAGTAAGATTAGACTGATCATTATTACTGACAGTATTGATAGAAAAAAGCTGCRAAGCATTTGCAAAACTGGTAGATGGGACGGGTAGTGCCTCCCAGAGGGACAAAAGAGGAGTTCAGTCTATTTGTGGAGCAGGATTGTGATGGAGCACCTGCCTCTGCCTGCTGAAGATTCTCTGCAGAAGGTGGTGGGCATTGTTGAGGATGGAGAGCATTTTGKTCAGGGTCTTTCTCTCTGCCACAGTCAGCAGAGTCCAGCTCAGTGTCACGTTCTTCTTCCTGGTTCCATTAGACCAGGTGTCTGCAACCTTTACGATCAAAAGAGCCGTTTGTGCTCCTTGTCTCACTAATAAAACGTGTCCAGAGCCACAAAACAATCTACAGCTGTGATTATCAACTGGTGGTCCGTGGGCCTTGTTCGAGGCCTTTTCAGGAACCTTTACGGTCAGTGGAGGTGACACTGTAAAACGAAAATAATATTGTTATTATTATATTATTTATTATTATACACATCGGGACAAATAAAAATACCTTATTCATGTAAACAAGAAAAACACTGTATACTAATGAATTTCATAAAAACTAGTGATGACAGCCGTTAATCGCTGTAGTTTGTCGCTCCAAGTGTGTCGAGCCCTTAACACATTTTACTTTTTTATTAGTAGTATTAATCCWATATTTGCATACAAATTGATTTCGGTTGTGGGTGTAAAAAACAAAAATAATGTGTGTTTGGTCACATTTTCAAAGAGCCACTGCAGCGGGACCGAAGAGCCACATGTGGCCCCAGAGCCGCAGGCTGCAGAACCCTGCATTAGACGGAAACCACCAGGTCTGCTAGGATAGGGTAAATCAGTGGTTCCCTTTGTTTTATAAGATAATTTCCACACTCCTCAACCCCTGCTTCAACATCTTCAACTAAACACACACACACACACACACACATACAGTATAC